TCCAGTGGTTTTTACTCACCTTTGGGTTTACCTTATTCACAGCTTTTACAGCTGTATCTATGGCTGCCTGGATATTTTTCCAAGCTTCTTCAGGGTGAGCACAGCTGTCGAACACAGATATGTGTTTAGCTAGTTCTTCCTGAAATACGGATTTAGTTTCCTGATCGAGCTGGGGACGTGATGGTTTTACCGCCAGCTGTTTCCTACGTCCGTTCAGTCGTAAGCACACCCGAGCGCGGACCAGTGCATGGTCGGTATCTACGCACGTGTTCCAGAAGGAGCGACAATCTCCTACCGACCCACGCCAACGATAGCTTATTGCTATGTGGTCTATTTGTGTCCAGCGTTGGTTTGATGAAGGGGGTCTCCAAGTCAAACAGTGTCTCTCCTTGTGTTTGAAGTTAGTGCTTACAAGAAACAAATGATTATCAGAGCAGAACTGTAGGAGACGGTCACCGTTGTCGGTTCGCTGGCACGGAACTCCATAGGTGCCACCGACATCCTTCTCAGATTGACACAATTTCCCTACTTGAGCGTTAAAGTCACCAGCTAGAACGACTATGTCTGAGCGTTTAGCCTTTCCACCAAACTAGACAGCTTTTGGTAGAACTCATCCTTCGTTTCATCTGAACTGCAGTCAGTGGGGGCGTAGGCGGAGATTACGAAAAGGCATCGGCGAGTAGTGCAGTCCTTCCTCCTTCTTACTGATCCGTTCAGGCGGACAGCACACATTCGGCTATCTACCGGGATCCAGTCAAGCAATGTCTTTTCTGCCCTAGTACTCAAAGCTATCCCTACGCCAGCTAATCCTCGTGAACTAGCTGTGGCATCTCCTGACACCCTCAGGGTGAATTTTGCAGATTCAACCTGTTGGCCAGGTGGGGTTAGGTGAATAACCACACTTGGGTCTTGTATGCGTGTTTCTGAAACACAGCATACATCAATGGCTCGTGATGCCAGGGTCTTGGCTAGTGATGCTTGTTGTCCTATTTGGCAAAGTGTCCTAACATTAAGAGCTCCTATATGAAATTGGTGGCGCGGCTTTAAGAGGCTGTCGGTGGTGGTTTTTTGGCTTCCATCGTTTTTAGTGGACGCAGAGTGGAGAGGAAGTGGAGAGCTATCAAGTCGAGGAGTTGCATCAGTGGAAGGAAGGCAAGATGATAGAGATGAAGATGAAGACAAAGATGAGTGAGTAATAGAGAGGTTTCGTGTGCATTTCGGATTGTGAGGGCGATTGTTACTTCCCGGCTGCCCACACCGTGGAAGTTGGTTGCGTGACCGCAGAGCCCAGGGGACAACTGCTTGAGGCCGGTCACACGCGGCCTGTTTTTGTTTGTTCTTTTTGTTTGGTGTGTCTCAGTAGCAGATTTATCACTCCCGCCCTGTGACACGGCAGCAGGAAGCGCGGTCGTTGTTAATCCGGGCCACGGCCGATCCGGCATGAAATTTTGTAATTTTGTATTGGACATGATGTTGGATTGGGTAGCTGCTTTTTGTTTAACCGCTATCCAAACAACCTGCCTGGCATGGTAGAACCTCAAGAGACATAAGTCTCAGCCAGTATAGCTTGATTAGGTCATTGCGGTGTTCAAGCCCGACCACCACGTCAAGGTAGCAGCACCGATGTGCCACAGTTCGAGTCGCCACACTTAGCACACAAAGCAAGAGAGAAGAAAGTAAAACAGAAATGCGAAACAGAGATGGTAAACAGAGATATGAGGCTAATCAACCCCTGTGAGACCTGGCCATTGAAAGTGGAAAACATGAAAAGGTTAGCTGTCTTCGATCATAGGTGACTGCGTTCTATCTCCCGTGTGAAGTGGTATAATAAGGTGAGCAATATTGAGGTTAGGCTTCGGTTGAGTGCTAGGTAAAAACGAGAAATCAATAGATGAGGCTGTGAAGTTACACCGATTGAGATGGTTAGGACATGTGTTACGCATATGTGCCTTGCCATCACCTCCCTGGACGGACGGGCTATGTTAGCTGACATAGAGTCAGGCTGGAAAAGAACTAGCCAGCGACGGTCAAACCAAAACATGGCTTCATCAACCAATGAAATCCACAACAGTTAGTTTCAACCATTCACGTAGGAAGGTGTAGACTTCCGCGTTGGGGTCCTCGGGAACTTTGTTTACTGTCTCTATGATGCATTTCTTCTATTTTCTTCTCTTGCTTTATGTGCTACATGGAGGAAGTGTGGTGACTTGAACTGCTGGACATCAGTGCAAAGTTCTATGTCGAAAACAGACAGACAGGCTCAACCCTTTAAAAACCACCACTACTGTAGTCTTATTGCATTTCTTCCTTGCTCGCACTTAGCAATATTTTCGGTAATGTGTTACAAATGTCTGTCTGTTCTCGACATAGAACTTTGCACAAATGTGCGGAAGTTCAAGTCGCCACATTCCGTGTAGCACGCGAAGCAAGAGAAGAAAGTACAAGAAAAGCATAATAGAAACAGTGAGCAGAGATGTGAGACAAAGGAGTAATAAAGAAAAACAAAACAGTTTCATTGAAGATCATAAGTCACAAGGAGTGGATGCATCTGCGCTAGCCACTAAGAACGATTTTGAGCCATGTCACCAATTGTTTCCAACCATAGATTTTTACCGTCCCGAGGACCCCAGCCTGGAAGTCTACACCTTCCTACGTGGCTTAGACCAACTGTTGTGGATCTAATTGACTGGTGAGGCCAAGTTTTTGTTTGACCGCCGCTAGCTTTTTTCCAGCCTGACCCTATATCCGCTAACATTGCTCGTCGAGGGAGGCGATGGCTTTGCCTTTTGTAGAACGTTTCACACTAATTAGGCAGTCAGAACACCACACGCTTGTCAGGCAAGCAGAGAGGGTGCACTAGCTGCATAGGTATCTGTATGAAAATAGTGATAATGATGGCGATAAGTTCTGTCTCAAGCTATCCCTGACTTCTTAATAAGACATAAGAAGATCCTGGAAATGGTGAGGAAACACGCAATGTTCTAAGACTATACTAAAATTTAAGAAGGCTAATACAATAACCATAACCACTCTAATAAGGTATTTGAAAAGTTTCCTTAGGTAAGGTAATAAAAATTCAGAAGTTATAAAAGATGGTTTGCGGTGATATGCGGTGGGCGGTGTCTTAAAAAAGATAAATTATATGAAGTAATAAGTGTCGTTACACAAAGCTGTTTTCTTTGATAGTTTAAAGACATTTTGAACTGAGTGACTGGTTTCAACATACAACTTTGCACACACGTGCAGCAGTTTCGAGTCGCCACACTTCACTCAGAACACAAAGCCAGAAAAGAAGAAAGTAAAAGAAACTCAAAATAGAGACAACAAAAGAGATATGAGGCAAAAGAATATTAATATAGAATGACAATACAATTATACTGAGTATTATAGGTCACAAGGAGTGGATGCATCTGCATCAGCCATTGAGAATGATGAGTTTAAGCCATATCACCAACTGTCTCCAGACTTCATTGGTTCTTACCATCATCCCGAGGACCCTAAGCAGGTAGACAGGAAGTCTACACCTCCCTACATGACTGACTGCATTTCATTGACTGATGAAGCCGTATTTTAGTTTGACTATCACGGGCTCTTTTTCAAACTGATCTATCCTATGTCAGTCAGCTAACATTGCCCGTCCGTCGAGGAAGGCGACGGCTAGGCATACGTAACACAAGACTGGTTAGTACTGTTATATTATTATCACACGTCAAGAAAGAGTTGATTAGGAGAAAGCAAATTATGACTATCGGTTTTTCGTGTAACAGATTTATACATAGGAATAGTCAAAAACAAAGACTACAGATGAATCATAGAACTAAACATGTATAAAGCAAATAGGCAGTTTAGTAAAAATAGGTAGCATAAGGGAGAGAGAGAATACATAGGACTTCATAGCCTTTCCTTACAGTAAATCCTAGTAAAAATGAAGGAGTCAGCAAAACGAATTGAGATTTGAGTGGCACATTGGTTCCAGTACTGAAATTTCAACTGGTGGGTCTCTGATTGGGAATCTGACCAACAAGGATAAGATTGAAGCTGGCTGACAAAGTTTCAAAGAAGAAACTCGCACAACAGTTTACGTTTTCACATTCTGTGTAGCACTCAATGGTGGACAAGAGAGGAAACTGGTATTACAAAGAACAGATATATATGGGAGAAGTAGTGACATGAAAAAACATGATTTCTTGGACACAGGAAATCACACAGAGTGAATGTATCTGTGCACACTGACAACGACTTCCAGCCATATCACTGATTCTCCTCAGTTATTGGTTCTTTATATCTTGAGGTCCCAAACTAAGCAGGTTAACATCCCTATGTGGCTCAAACCAACAGTCAAATTTCATGGATAGATGCCGGATAAAGCTTACATATGCCAATAAAATGACATTTTCTTTATAGGCAATCTTAAAAACTGGGTAAATGACGAGAGTAAGTAAAAAGGGAAAGCATGACCAGGAACTAAAAACCAGTTCAACCACTGTTTGCAGGTTCACTTTCGCACTCCATAATAATTTCGTAAACCACGTTTTGATTTTATGCTGAGGCTACTATTTACACAGGCGGCTGAATCTGATTCTAACTCTATGCTAACTATAGGCACCTGTGCTTTTATTGTGGCAAATTTGTTTTCAGAAAGTCTTCAAAAACACCAAATTTGAAGATAAATCTCTACGTACACCTATCATCTACAGCCAATTTTCAAGCATTAAATGTCAACAGGTAATCGAGTTCGCTTTGAACCTATTGCTAGACCATAAGGAAAGTACCTTTATAAGTATACATTCAGTACTAGAATAATGCAAATCAAGTACATTGTTTGCTATATATACATGAAGTGGAGAACTCTTAAAATGAACGAAAACACGCCAAAAACAAAGAAATACTGATATGGCAGACTTTCTACATAAATCTGTCTATCTATAAGCAGTTTGAAGAACTTTAAAACTGTTATCAAACCACGTTTCAATCATGAAAAAAGAAACAAATGTACATACCTGGCCTTCACCTTCAATTACCAGTCCAACTTTGTCTTCAGTCAAGTTTTCTGAAGACTTCTTCTGCTCATCCTCTTCTCCCTCATCTTTATAAACTTTAACTTCATCGGTACATGCGATTTCCATAAGTACCGAACTCACAGAAAGTGACCTTAGCCTCCTCCACAGTACCAAGCACCTTGAGATCAAGGTTACATATTTCCATTCTTCAATGTGAAGGGTTAATCAAATCATATTTTACTTTATAAAACTTAAATTTTTTATAATTAAAGAAAAAATGTATTTGATTTGTTTGGTCGAAGCCACTTAAGCAGGAACTTCAAAATTGTGCGGATGAATGCGTCAAACGCTGCTGCTGAGCTCAGCGCCACTGAGCAAAGGATTATTAGGATAAAGTCGGATATAGATCAGTTTGAAGAACTATTCAGGCGTGTTGTCAGTGGGTTTGGAGATACTAAATATCTCAATGAACAATATCACAAACTTATTCTCACAACCAAGGATTTATCTTTTCATTTGGATACCATCCAAAAGTAGTTACTATCCCTGTTTGTTTTTTCTTTAAATCCGTTTTTAAATATCGCTATACACTTGATAGTAGTCTTGTTTTACTATTTGATTCCCATGTGATTTAATAATAAGTTTTAGAGCTAATTACGGCTATAATCGTATTTCATGTTAGTCTTTGTGATAGAAGGGAGTAGACTAAGAGTAGTCCATGTTGACCCTTGCAGTATCTATGCATAGAACTCTAAATTATTAAAGGCTTACGTATTAGAAGCTAAGCCCATTTAATCCTGTGGAGAGTTTCAGCCTCTATGTAATCTAAATTTGGTCGCTAAGAACTTTTTATGATGAGCTCTTTTTAGTGTTCATGGTAGAAGGGGCTTAGAAATGTCAAAATCTAATTTAGCATTAAGTATATGACAAGCCAAATTTAGACTACCTCCTGTTTCATTGTGTAGCAATGAGTAGAGGTTTAGTCTGTCCATCTTCCTACGGTGTGACTCATGTAACCAGTAGGGGTACTTAGTCTTTATGCTATCACCCAAGCCTGCCTCCTTGAATTATGAACTAAAAGTTTTTTGTGCGTTGTGTCACATGAAGTCACTTATTTTAATCAATATTGCCGCAGTTCACCAAAATCCATGCAAGTCATCCACAGTATCTGTCTGTTTGGATTCAACATAGAACTTCGCACCGAAGTGCACCAGTTCGAGTAGCCACGTTCCAAATAGCACACAAAGGTAGACAAGAAGATGAGTGAAGAGTATCAATACAGTCTGACAAGTGTAAGAGTGAAACAGAATGGGTAATGGTAGAAAGGAATATGAAAGATTACAGAGACTGAATACATCTGCGCTGGCCATTGACAACGATTTTGAGCCATGTCACCTATTGTCTCCAGCCATTGATTCCCAGAGTCCCGAGGACCCCAACCCGGAAGTCTGCATCTCCCTACCTTACTCAGTTTAACTGTCAAGTATTTCATAGATTGATCCACAGTATCAATTTCCTGTGTCGTTTTGTTGGTACCAAACCTCATTCTTGAGGGCTCGGGAAGGATTTATAAAAAAAAAGTTGGTACCTTGTTCAGACAGCCTTAGTTCAACATGCGAATATTTCAGACGTATGTGTATTGTGTCGACGGCCTCTTCCATCTTGGCTTCTTCTACAACAGACTTTAAAATAACTTAAGAGTCAGTTATTGCTCTATTGTCTAAGACAACACAAGCTCTATATTCACATTTGAAGTTATTTCAGTCATTTCACTGTTATGTTTCTATAATTATGTAGGTTTTCAAGATTTTATTTACCGTGGTTTCTAAGCATTGCCATTCTAATTTCAAATATTACGCATTCTAACCAGTTAAAACTTATTTGTTCTTTCTATAGAGCAATTCAGCTGGGGTCACAAATTCCCGATCTGCGTGCTCGAGCTCGTACTTTAAATGCTCAAGCCATAAGTCAACTGGGACGTTTGCAAAAATTGGGTAATAATGTTCAACAACACGCCAAAAGTGAGACAAAAGTTGAATCACTTAACACTGAAGGGAAATATCCATCAGTCAATGACTTTGCATTCAGTCGTAAGTTCTCACTTTAGTCAGTGTATCTTTTATACAACTGACTACTACAGTACTCCAATACAAATTAAACATTCTTCATGACTTATTCAGCTGTGATATAGCCTTGGTTGAGAAGTGGATGTTTTTGGTACAACTCATACGAGTAGTTATTTAGTTATTATTATCTATCCGTTCACTCTCAGCTTTCCCGGTGACACATGGGGTTGCAACAGAACGCTACCATTACACTCGCTTCTCTACTATCACTTCTAGCTTGTCCTATGACTGCTCTCAAATTTTCATCCCCTCTTCACACGATCTCTTGTGTTACCCATGTACCGCTGGTCACTCCCTACTCGATGTCCTGGCGTGTGACCACACTTGATCGTCGCTTCAGCGTGTGCCCTGTCCGTCTTCAATTCCTTTTGCATAATTACTGGGTGATAGGTTGTTGACCGATTCACTGACTGTCAAAGTTCCTTGTTGCTAGTCCTTTTTAGCTGGCCATCTGCTCTTCAATACAGAGTGAAGGCAGTTATTAATGAAACCGTTCAGACTATTAGAAATTCTGGTAACACTCGCACCAATATTGAAGCACTGACTGATTTGACAGTTAAAAATTTGAATTTTTTCCTTTGTGATAAGAACTGTAAACCTCTACACACTGGTTTCAGAGTAATATACTTCTGTTTTACTTTTTCGACTTTGGCTGATTCCGCACATTCTGCACTTGAGAGGATGTTACCCAAATAAGTGAAGGAGATAACTTTCCTTAGACTTCTTTCACTGACAGTAATTGGTTGTTATCGTTGGTCAGGTATCTTCATCACTTCACATTTTGTCTTCGCCGCCTCATCTGCCATGCCAACTTGTTGGTTTTTGCTTATATGCGTATTGACAAATATATATTCTTATTATTAAACTCCCTAGCTTAGCGTCCAGCTAAAGTTCACCAAGGCAACTGTAAACTCATATCTACTTGTGAGTCGCATTTTTATGTCGTAGACCTTAATTTCATAGCCTAAAAGTGCAAACAATAGTCATTTCAGATTAAATACACGCCGTCGTTGTAAAGGCTTTCTAGTTAGCTTCAACTGTCGAACCAAAGTCTGACATCAATCTATAAAGTCTTAGAGTGCTGGTTTTAACTAGCCATATGATGGGTGGTTGTAGACTGCTTGTTTGAAGACCTCGGGATTCCAAGAACCAGTTTCTTTTTGTATTTTAATAATAATCCTTTGCGTTTCGAGTAGTTCTGTATAAGGCTTGCGAGTTGAGGGTTGCTAGTCCCACGCCCAACTTCCCTTATCTTTGTCGGGCTAACAACCGGCTAGAGGAGGGGAAGGTAAAGATGTATTACGGCTGGGAATCGAACCCTAGACCACATGCATCCTACCGCTGAGCCACCACCGACACACCAAGAACCAGTAGTAGTACCAGATGACTATTGTGATATAGCTGGCTCGAAACTGTTTTGTCAATGATTCCTTTGAAAAACACCTAACTGAAATTACACGCTCCCAGACATCATTATCATATAAAAAAAGTGAAGTTGTACATTACTCAACCCAATATTAAACTATGCAACTTCAAGCAGGTGTGTTGTTGAATAGTTGGAAATTGAAATATTAGATTTTCAGTTGTATTTAACTTTATACTGTTTATCGATTGATTATTAGACCTTATCATCACTTTTATCACGTCAAATAGTTTTGATCTTGGCGCTACTTGAAGTTTTATTTTTTTTATACATACATGTATTTATAATACATTCAGAAGGTCCTTTAGAACAAAAGCAGATAACTATGGAATCTAAAGCAGATATTCAACGAGCACATGATATGGAACAATTGGAATCGGATATTGTTCAAGTGAATGAATTATTCACAACACTTGCCACTTATATTCATGATCAAGGGACTTTAGTTGATTCAATAGGCGATAATATAGAAGTAGCCTATGAACAGGTATGTATTGTTATTGATTTTATTGATTTTGAGTACAGATTGTTCAATTTTTTTGTTTCTACTAAGGCTGTGTTATATACGAATAGAAATGAGTCTTAGTTGGTATAAGAATAGAACTTGTGTGCACTGTGTGGTACATTATAATTCCATTGTGGGTGAAAAAATTTTATTTTGATGATAAAGTCTCAAAGTGTGTTTGTCATACAGTAATATTTACTGATGACCGACCACGTTTCGAGCACAATTTATTGCTGCTCATAATCATATCAAGGTACTACTCACACAACTTTCTAACTTCGTTTATATTAACCCGATATTTCTCATTTCTTCATTTGATGATTGGTGGTAATAATTTCCATATCTCGAGTATTATTTAACTGAGTCATTCCTATTGCATGTGTGGGGTGTAGACTCGGTGAACAAGGATTCAATAATCAACCTCTCTCTCGTGCTCCACCTACATGGATTACTTCTTAGAATTTAAACCCTCTCTCATTCTATTGTGTGGTTGTGGCTTAATGCATGTAGTGCGATTGCTGAACTTCTTTTTAAATTATTCATCTCTCTTCGCGGAGTCAACCATTCTAACCTTAGCTAAATTCTTATGTTCCAGCAATCTGCCTACCCCGGATCTACTAGTTTGACCTATGTAGCTGAACTCGCAATCATTGCAGTCATTGACCCTGCGAAGATAAGTGGTCCAAGGAAAACGGTCTAACCTTAAATCCCTCTATATGCCAAACAGTCAGTTTCACCTTTAGGCATAAATCTGACCTAAACAAACTGGTTAGCACTCACATTGATGGCACTGAAATAGAAACTGAGTCGAAAATTAAGTATCTTGGCGTCATTATATTTACTGATCTTTCCTGGTCGTCTCATATCTTGATGTGCGTCGGTGGCACAGTGGTTAGGACTCTCGCCGACCATGCACATGGTCCAAAGTTCGATCCCCTGCCGACGCACACCTGATATCTATGGTCGGCCTGAGAAATTTGGGCTACCGATATCCATGCTGAAAATTCCACACTTGTACCAAAAATACAGTGTGGAATCAAGCTGTAATCAAGAAGTTAAAATATTCTGGAATAACCCAACCCTTACTCTTACGATTCGTTAGCTCTTGCATCCTGACTATTATTCTCTATTGTTCCCCCTTACTTTCTTTCAAGGGCTACTGAAGAAAGACTATACCTTATTACGCAGGATGTTAAAAGTTGTCAGCAGGGTAAGCAACGTGCCACTGAACCATCTTATTAATATTATGGTCGACAGGCACTTGGACTCATGTGAAAAATGGGCTAAATCCATTTTACCTAACTCACACCACCCTCTTCATCCACAACTCTCCCCTTGTATTTCATCAGTCAAAACCAGAAGCCTATAAAGAAAACTGTATGCTCGCACTAGTAAGTACAAAAACTCAACCATACCCTACCTAGCTCGTGTTCTGTGCGATAAAGAAAGCATTAGGTGTGAAACCTTTAATTTATTAAATAGTCAGTAGAACAACTGAATCTCGTCTTTCCAACTCATATCATTTATAGGTACAACGTTTTTCTTTCGTTCTTTTCCTTTTCTCTCTCTCTTTTTTCTGTGCAGCTTTGCTTCTTTCTTCTGCTTACGCCAGTAAATGTGCTAGAACCTACTTTTCTAACACCTTCGAACACTGTTTCACTTTTGGCTTTGCTACCAACATGCCGATATGTTGTTGTCATAGTGAACTGAGATTACTCTTAATCTGTGTAGAACTTTATTTATTGTTAATGTACTAACTGGATGCAATACTGCAGTAAAATACTGAGAATTCCATTTTGTATCACAAGTACTGTTTTGGAATAAAGCAAATTATTATTATTATTATTTAGAAAACAGCTCTGCAATTGCACCGCATGCATTAAGCCACAACCACACAATAGAGTGGGAGAGAGTTTAAATTCTAAGAAGTAATCTAGGTAGGTGGAGCACGAGAGAGAGGTTGATTATTGAATCTGATGGTTATAGTCTTTGACTTCATTGAATAGCGTAGATTTTGAATAATATATGAAACGGAACTTGAATCCTCTTCATTGTTGTAGATCCATCCTATTAATAAATGCCAATACTCAGAAAGTCTAGATTCAGCGTCGTTTCCATCTCATTAAGCCTCTTCAAGAATAGGCTGTGTTGTCTACGTAAGTAGAAATCACAAGCATTCTGAACTACAACTCTCTTTACTGGTTGCTACAAAGACGTTAGTTATTACTCAGTTATCCAGTACTGGACTATGAGACACGCTATTGTAAGGGCTAATGATAGCACCCAAACGCCTGGGCTGAAGTAGGTGAAGCGGGACTTGAACCTTGAACCTATCGACTGAGAGTCTATAGTGCTTTAGACCTGTTAAACAATATCTCCACTATTACGAATGCAAAACCCTATTAGTCTCTCTCTCTATTTGATGCCTCTCGTCTTCAAGGCCATCCTTAATCCAATATCTGGCCTTACTGTGGATTCTAAAGTTGTTCTAAAGTTCCACAGAAATATCGGAAATTTCACTAAAAATCAATATCAACAATAGCATTTCCAACCACTGCTATCTTACCATGAGGCGGTTAAACAAAAGGGAAAAATAAGCAGTGTTGTTCCAATAAAATTTAGGACAGGTGAATCGATTTTATTCGTCTTCATTCTTTATTCAAAGACAAAGTAGCTATCGTTCATCTCTTATATATCGGTATGCTGTGCCTGGAAACCTCTCAGTTTGCATCGTAGTTACAGGTTGAGTTACTATTTCCAACTTTAATCTGAAACCTTACAAAGTTAACAAATCTTTCTGACTCGAATTTTTTCTAGGATAATTTCATAAGGAGTTCAAGGATTTGTTATAACTTTTGCATCAGCTCATTCTACATTGACTTCTAGCTTAGAGGTAGGGAGTGAAATGGTGGCTGAGCGTGTTGACGACTTCACTTATTTGAGGGGGAAGTTGGATCAGCCAGCCCCAACAGGTTGTTTGCTGACGAAATCTCACCACGGATACAAAAGGCTCGTTTCGCTTACATCCGCCAACTAACGCCATCTCTGGCTTAGTAGACGTGATATCCGGTTGGCTGGTTGTCCACTAAACGGCGTATGTGTAATGCCACTGCTCAGGAGTTTGCTCTATCCTCTTCTATGGCTGGTTGTCAGACATAGCCATTGAAAGTGGAAGATATGAAAAGGCTGGTTAGTTGTCTTTCATCATAGGTGTCTGCGTTCTATCTCCCTTGCTACATGGTGGTATAATAAGGTGAGGAATATTGAATTTAGGCGTAGGCTGTGTTAGGTAAGGAAGGGAAGTCAATCAATGAAGTTGTCAATTTACACTGATTGATATGTTTAGGACATGTGTTACGCATGCATTCCTAGCCATCACCTTCCTTGACGGATGGGGAATGTTAGCTGACACAAAATCATGTGGTGGTCAAATCGAAACATGACTTCATCAGTCAATGATATCCGCAACAGTTAGTTGTAGCCAGCCACGTAGGGAGATGTAAACTTCTGACTAGTTGGGGTCCTCGGGATGGTAAAAACCAATGAAGGCTGAAGACAATTGGTGATATGTCTCGAAATCGTTCTCCATGACAGAGCAGATGCATTCACTCTTTGTGATTTCTAATATCCAATAAAACTCTTTTGTTCTATCATATTGTTATTCTTTTTGCCTCACTTGAACTGCGGTTTATTTATTATCTCTCGCTGTCTTTGGAATCTCTCTTTACCTAACCTCTTATCTTTCTCTGTGTGCTACATGCAGGGAGTGTGGCAAGTGGAACTGGTGCACATCTGTGCAAAGTTCTACGTTGAAACCAGTCAGTCAGTAGCTCATTGCTTTTTGCATGTCAAAGTTAACTAGTGTTTCATCACATAATGCAATGAGTACACGCCCAGACCCCATTCAGGTGGTTGTTGTAAGCCACCATCCCCTGAGCTTTCAACTTTAATTCTGATCTATAGAGCAGTGGAGCTGCGTTCCGTTGGATTCCGGTGGCAAAAACAGATTCATACTCCATCCGATTCTTTCGAATCCCTGAGTCATAGTTTTTTCCAGCTCTCATAGGCCAGTTGTTGTGTAAGCTCTCGACTTTCTCATTTTCACCGTTCCACTTTTTATGTGAAAAACACCCCCGCTGTCGTGTAAAGACGGCAGTCTCAGGTATACTTTTATGCATCTCTTGTTGGAAATTTCGAAATCCTCATTGTACAAATACAACTTAGCCGAATATTGTGCAATTTTTAGAAAAGCACATCTCTTTCATTCGACAGATAAAATCAAGTAATTGTAGAATGAATCTATAGTTGTGTTCAGGTGTTATGCTTCACTCATGTTGGCAATTGGCCTTCAAGACTAACCAAGTGCCTCATCAACTTTCAGACTAATTCGTTTCAATGTAATTTATTTAACCCAACTAGTTAATATACACGCATGTCACACAAATCATATTGTTCACTGTGTCATGTACATGGTACTGATTAAAGTGGTTTACATTTGAGGGTTTTTTGATGTGGTTGTGTTCTCTGAGCTGGATGGTTAATTTGCGAAGCTTCCATCACCCTACTGGGTAACATCTTCAGCGCATACTTCAATTTGAAGTGAGCTTTTAGATTTCTCCACGAGTTTATTAATCATCTCTCCTGGTGACTTTGGAAATGATTTGTTGTTTTTGTGTTTTCACACTTTCTAGGTTACTTGTATTGGAACTGATTGTTTCTGTGACTTGAACTTTGACTCTGTGTGTGTGTGAGGTTTTTTATTGGTTGATAAATTTTGTCTATCACTATGTGTCTATTGATTGATGATTCACTGGAATGCCAAGCTTCTAAAAATTCTGTAGCATTCTTATTGTTTCCTCTGTCTAATATCTGAACATTGTCCCAGTCGAATTGATGTCCGTGGTTGTCTGTATGCAGCAATATGAGTGAGGGAGTGGATATGCCTTTTGACGGCTAGGTTGTGTTCGTGGATACGAAGACGAAGTGGACGTCCACTTTGTCCAATGTAGTGTTTTTCGCAGTTGTTACAATTTATTTCTTTAGATGATGTTGGTTTTATCTTCTTTCGCTGTTGAGTCTTGGTTGACAGAGAATTGAGTCAAACGACTTTGTTGGTTTGTGTACGACGTCAATTCCTAAAGGTTTGAAGAGTCTTTTAGTAATTTCTGAGATATCCCTTATATATGGAAGGGCGATTTTCTTTGTGCTTTCCTTGGTGGCTTTTGCTTTGATAGGTTGGCTTGGGGGTATATGTCTTTTGATGAAATTCCGTGGATACCCATTCTTTTGGAAGACGTCCATGAGATACTTTTCTTCAATCTTCCTTAAGGTGGGAGTGTTGTAATGAGTCCGTGCTCTCTTGAATAGTGTTTGTATGCAATTCCTTTTGTGTGTTATTGGGTTGTTGCTATTGTAATTCAGGATTTGGTCTGTGTGAGTTGATTTCCTATAAACTTGAGTTTCTAATTCCCCTGTGGTTGTTCGCTTGACTAAGACGTCCAAAAATAGTATTTTGTTCTCGGATTCCTCTTCTCTTGTGAATTTGATGTCGTTGAAGATGTTGTTTATTAAGTTGTGAGTTTTATCTAACTCGTTTCTTTTGATTATTACAAATGTGTCGTCGACGATGAGAACACCAAGAGAAATGCATCATGTGGTATAGATAGCTCAGATACTGTGATAGAATTCACTCTGCACCAAAGAAAGGACTAGACACTTCGTACTAGTTACTAGTGTCCAATCAAAAAATACCCCCTACAGTCCTGCAGGAGGTCAGTCGCGAGCCTGAATAGCTCAGTGTTAACGTCTCTGACTGCAGCACCCACTGGGTGATGCGGGTTCGAATCTCAGAAGCGACATGAGTTCCAGCAGGGTTGCAGAGATACGCCTTGCTAACTGGTGGTTGTCAACTAGCACCAAACCTAGGTCAGGTAAGGCTTCCTGTGGCCGATCGCCTCCAACTATCTAATATCATGAAGTAGACTCTCTTCGATCAGATCGGTGGTGAGTGTGGAACATTCGTATTCGCTGTTTCATTTGTCTAAGAATACTCCCACCCACCCCAGCGATTCCTATATAATTGACTGAGACATGGCCGCTACAAGAGGGGGCGGAAAGACAGAAATCTACCCTCCCCCACCCTAAGATATTTTAATTATTAATGTGCACTTACTGTCTCTCGTGTTCCTTCTCCATTTCACTGACTGATTGGTTTCAGCGTAGAACTTTGCACAGATGTGCAACAGTTCTAATTGCCACACTCCTTCTATGTAGCACACAAAGCAAGAGAAGATATTAGGTAAACAGAGATTCAAAATGGAGAGATAATAAACAGAAATATGAAGCAAAAAGAATATTAATATGGAAGAACAATATAATTTTATTGAATATTGTAAATCACAAGAAGTGAATGTATCTGCGCCAGCCATCACCGAGAACGATTTTGAGCCATATCACCAATTGTCTCGAGTCTTTATTGGTTCTTACCATCCCGAGGACCCCAACCAGTCAGAAGTCTACACCTCCCTACATGACTATTTTAAACTAACTGTTGTGGATTCTATTGACTGAGAGAAAGTCATATTTTGGTTTGACCACTGCATCTTACATCTTTTGCAACCTGATCCATCCCATATGAATCAGTTAACATTGCCCGTCGGTCGAGGAAGTCGTTGGGTGACTAGGGTAGGCAAGCGTGACACATATCCTAACCATCTTTCTCAATCGATGCACAAACACGAGGGAGCCAGGTAGGGATTGACTTGCTATCAGGGTATCATCTCGTTGACTTAGAATATTCAGGTGATATGGTCCTTCTAGGCGAGAATGAATGTTTGGCATGCGATTCGCTCCCGCCAAAATTAAGATGATGTTACAGGACTGGACTACACTGACTCCTAGTTTAGAAATAGCGAGTGAAGTGGTAGAGCACGTTGACCGCTTCACTTATTTGGGAGGGAAGTTACATCAGCCAACGGGTTGATCTCTGACGAAATCTCAATCCAGATACATAGGGCTAGTTTCGCATATGCTAGTTTACGCTGTCTCTGGCGTAGACGTGATATCCGACTGCTTATCGATCAAAGGGCGGGTGTACTGCTCATCAGTCCGCTCTGTCCTCCTTTATGGCTAGCTGTGAGACCTGGCCATTGAGAGTGGAAGACATGAAAAGATTAGCTGTCTTCGATCATAGGTGCCTGCGTTCTATCTCCCATGTGAAGTGGTATAATAAGGTGAGCAATATTGAGGTTAGGCATCAGTCGAGTGCTAGGTAGGCGGGAGGGGAAATCAATCGAGGAGGCTGTGAAGTTACACCGATTGAGATGGTTAAGACATGTGTTGCGCATATGTGCCTTGCTATCACCTCCCTGGACGGACGGGCTATGTTAGCTGACATAGAGTCAGGCTGGAAAAGAACTAGCCAGCGACGGTCAAACCAAAACATGGCTTCATCAACCAATGAAATCCACAACAGTTAGTTTAAACCATCCACGTAGGTAGGTGTAGACTTCGTGACTGGTTGGGGTCCCCTGGACGGCAAAAACCAATGGTTGGAAGCAATTGGTGACATGGCTCAAAATCGTTCTCAATGGCTGGCGCAGATGCATCCACCCCTTGGTACTTATGATTTCAAATGAAACTATATCGTTCTTCGTTATTACTATTCCTTTTGTCTCACACCTCTGTTTACTGTCTCTATTATGCTTTTTGTCTCTTTCTTTGTGTGCTACATGGAGTGTAGCGACTTGAACTGCCGGAAAGTGCAAAGTCCTATGTCGAAAACAGACAGACAGATCGGTGTAATTTTCCAGCCTTGTCGATTTATTTCCTTCTCCATTTGATCCTATTTTATTTGTTTGTTTGTTTGTTTTACTCTTTAGGTTCAAAGTGGTACAGAACAACTGACCACAGCAACAAAACATCGGAAATCAGCACGACGTAAAAAGTGTATTTGTCTCGGACTGGTCGTCTTGATTTTATTCATTATAGGCTTGGCTATCGGATTATCCTTGAAACAATGATTGATTGATTGATTGAGTAGTGTTCATGCATACAGTGATACAATCTTTTGTTCTTGTTTTTTGTTTCACCCTGCCATTAACATTATTATGTGATTTGGTTTTACTGTTAATTTCTCCTCTTTTTGTAATTATTATTATTTGATAATAATTAGTTTGATTTGTTCTCAAAATTTATTGATTTGCTATCATGATTTCATATACACGCAGAAAAAAACGCATACACTGCAGAAAGCAGAGCGGAACTACAACACACACACATACAATGTCTTTCAATGACTTACAATTATCTTTTTTTCTTTTCTTTTTGGTCATTGTTTCATGGTTTAACTTTGTTTATTTTTCACTTTTATGGCAGACAGACAGACCCACACACACACGCACAGACACAGTATTCCATTATTAATTAATTATCATAACTTCCAACATTCTATGCTGATGATGATGACGATAATGATGAATGTGTGTGTGTGCGTGGGGGAGGGTTTGTACCTCGTTTATAACGCCTACTTGATTGTACAGTTACAACAATTTATATCATATATATATATATATATATATATATATATATATATATATATATGATACACATTCATTCATCAATATATTTTTGCGCCTTATAATTTTCCATACATTTATTCCCTTTAATAAATTGGAAATAAAGCAAGAACAACTGGGGTTTGTGCCGAAGTAAGGTGATGGTACCATCCGTGTTTATTTCGTTGACTTCTCTTCTAATTAGCTCAGCTGTTTACAGCCCGAAGATCTATCCTCAGAAACTAATAGAATTGTTATTATTATTATTGTTGTTCCCCTGGGCTCCTAGTGGAACATAGGGCTTCAACTGCACGTCTCCACTTGCCACTTCTGCTGTACTTTTCAACTACATCCATGTTAATTAGTCCATATTGTTTCAACTCCTTTTCACACGATCTCCTCCATGTCACCCTTGCACTGACGACCCACTCGAGCAATGGCCTGACGCGCGCGCGGTGTCACCCAGCGGCCTCCAGTCTCAGCGAGTGTCCAATCCATCTCCACTTACTCCTGCATATTTGTTGGTTGGCGATTGGTTCTTGTTGGTGATTCTTTCCGGCCGGCCATCTGATCTTCAGTATAGACCGAAGACAGTTGTTGTTGATGAAGATCTGCAACAGGCCGTTGGAAATATTCTTTGTTACCCGCCCGCCCAGTTTCTGATCCGTATAGAAGAGCTGACTGGTTTGACATTTATATTGAAAATCCGATCGAGCTTTGTTGTTGATGCTGTGTGACGAAGATTTCCAGATTGATTTCAGGTTGTTGAATGTGTTTCTCGCGTTCCCGATTCTCGCTCGATTTGACATCCTCGTCCGTTCCAACTGTCTGTAGTTGAGACAATGCTCCCTAGATAAGTGAGTGAATGAAGTAACCTCTTCCAAATCCCTCCCGTTGATGGCGATTGACGCTGGATGTTGTTGTTGTTGGTTGGTTGGTTATTTTCATCACCTCCGTCTTGTCTATGTTCACCTGGAGTCCTGTCTTCACCGGCTGCTTCTTCAAACGACCAGTTTGTCAGTTTTCGCTTGTAAGTCTTCGATTTTGTGTGACATCAAACATAAATCATCCACGCGCGAAATCCAGGTCTCCTAGGTTCTTCACGCCGGTCCAGGATATCCCTGTCTTCTCGTTTCCCACTGTCTGACTCATAATCTAGTCCACCATAATTAGGAATATGATTAGTGATAATAAGCACCCTTGTCTGACTCCTGTGTTTACCCCAAATGCCTCGCTGAGTTTTCCGTTGTGGATCACATGACATGTGCCGTCGTCATACAGCTGTTGAATAAGGTTGATGAATATTTGGGGTACGCCGTAGTACTCGAGTAATTACCAAATTACTTCGCGGTCAACGCTGTCTGTCGAAGGCCTTCTCAAAGTCTATAAAGTTGAGGTAGAGGTTTGATTGCCATTCCATGCTTTGTTCGATGATGATGTTGCGTAGAGTTGCATTTTGGTCAGTGCATGATTTGCCTTTCCTGAATCCATCTTGTTCTGGTCGAAATTCTGTATCCAGTGCGTCTTTTATTCTCTCCAGGATGATGCGACTCAGGATTTTACTTGGCGTCGTCAGGAGCATGATTCCTCGCCAGTTCTTGCAGAGTCCTAAGTCGCTCTTCTTTGGTAGCTTCACAAGGTAACCTTTCCCTTCTTCCAGACGTTTTGCAATAATGGAGTCAGCATATCTGCTGTTGTCTCTGGGTCCGCTAAACTAATAGAATATCAACTATAATTAGGAAGATTCCACAAAATTCGGGATCATTCAAACCTAGATGGCCAAGGTAAGGATAATGTCTGAACTAGCTTCTTTTAGGCGCAAAAATTAGGCTTCTTAATGTAGTTACAAACAGCCTCAACAATATTTAGTAATTGAACTCTTAAGGCAATATTAAGATTTGTTAGTGTGCGATGAATGACTCTGAAAGCCTGTTTGACATCAATCTTGTGTTCTGTATCCACAATCAATATATGATATTAAACAATATTCCGAACAATAATGATCATACACAATGAAAACTTTCCACATGACGTAATCAGATGAAAGAGAGGGTGAAAATATCCAGTTACCAGGCAGTAAGGCAAGGTAGGACTTATAACTGTTTCTTTCTGAACGCAAAAGTCAGGCCTCAGGAGCTTGATGGAGACCACTGTCGCAAAATTGAGGAGAATTGAACTCTTTTGCCTATTGATAATTTTGATCGATCTTGCGACGTCCACCTCATAACCCGTGTCAAGAAGATGCCTGGTGATGGCACTATTTAAAGCATTTGTTGCCTTGAGATACAGACATTGTGTATGATCATTATTGTTCGGAATATTGTTCAATATTATTATATATACATATTATTACTGTATGCATGTATTGATAGATTGATTTTTGTTTAAAATGAACTCTGTGCAAGTATGTTAAAATTGTTTTCGTAGATATACTTAATAATGACTTTGGCCTGTAAGCAGCTGAGCTGATAAGAAGCCAACGAAATAAACACTAGTGATACCATTTTGTTCTGAAAAAGCCACTGTTGTTCTTGTTGTATAATTTTATTAGTTAAATTAATGTATCTTTTCTTCGAATTGGTTTCCAAGTAGCTATGATTATAGTGGTGAGCAAAGTTAAACTTCAAACACTAGAGAAGTGGGTGACCGCACACATCGATGAGATTTTGAAACATTTACTTAGTGCAAATTACTAAAACCCCAAGGTAAATAAGGCTTAGAATCATGAAAAACAAGGTAGGCTTAGTAAAGCGTTATAATATTATTATTATAAATGGGGATATCTGTTAATTTATTAAGTTTTATGTTTGCGAAAGATTGAATTGAGGTTTAATTTAGGCTAAGGACCAGGAGTTGTTAGGGTTAAGTATGTGATGTGTGCTACTGATGAGATGTTTCCTCTTAATCCGGAACTCTCCAGGAGTATGCACCCATCGGGGTTAGAATTTAAGACCATTCGGCTACAAGGCAAGCTTGCATACTATTTGGATCGGGTCTCAGTAGTGGCTTAATGGCCTACGAACTAGCTCGCCTTGTAACCTGAAACTTGTGGTTTCGGAGCCAGGCGGTGGGTGCGTACTGGTGAAGAGTCCCATTAAAGGACGAAGCAGCTTTCCAGTACTCCCAGCTGGTTTCCAATGGTCCTCTAACCGATGTCAGCTCATCATGATGAAATCCTGAAAGAAGCAGAAATTTAGTACTTGAGGCATAGTAGTAAAAGTGGTTGGATAAACCATTTCTAAACACTAAATTCAAGTTTATCCTCATGTCCGTCTGAAGTTTTCGTCCCAGCGACGAAGATGTAGTCGAAATCCCTCTGTACTGCTTCATCTTACTGTATATGTGACTCTAAATGAAGTCTCTTTTTTGCGTTGATACTGAGTGACTAGAAGTAGTAATATACTCTAGAAATAAGTTGTTAATTGTCCTACCTTCTGTCCCTTTTGACAACTATTCTGATAAGTGTTCATGGGAGCGTGTGTCCAAATCCTAGTCCATCTATAATCACTAGTAACATGACTTCACCGTCACAATTAAATAGAGTTGACTGTATAAATGACATATTACTAAATCATTCTTATGATATAAGATTACAAGTAAACTAATATCTGGATATATTGATTCTAACGTATTTGTAAATAGCCTAACAGTATGTCGTATATCGACAGCCAATTTAAACAAGCTACCAACGAAGACGACTCTCAGCTAAAAAGCGGACCCCATCGTGATCCTATTAACGTTGCGAATTGAAGGAATTCGTCGGTCAATACAATCCCAACTACATGATCCTAGTGAGTCATGAATGCTCACTGTTGAAGAGTCCTAAGGCTGGAACAAAACACAGCTATCCAGTAGTGCTTCAGAAGGGCTTTGTGTGCTTTTGGAAGTGTGTGGACGGTTTTTACTTCCCGGCTGCTTACACCGTGGAAATTGACTTGTTCTTGGGGTACCAGAAAGAGAATTAGTGTTGCGTGACCGCAGAGATCAGGGGATAACTACTTAAGGCCCGTCACACACGACCTGTATGAACTGGCTTTTTGGTTTGGTTCCGTATTAGTAACTTATCGCTGACTAAGGACCACTGCAGGTAGGGTAAGTTGGGATGTACAATTTCTGGGGTCGACGTTTTCTAACCCTCTCTCTCCAGAGTGGAGAGACAGCATAGTTGGCTGGCAGGCTGGTCGTCTGAAGGAAACACCTTACTACTGCTGTTACACCCCTGTTCCCCAGCAGTACGACTTCGCTCACAGACCCCCACCATAGTGTAAAGGAAGTAATTCTTACACTACTCCGATAACTATATATATATATATATATATATATATATATATATAGTTATTTAGAAGTGTTAGTTTGTAGGGATCTGATTGGTTTCACATCTCATCATGGATTTATATCACAGCCAATGGACCATTAAAATCCAGCAATCAAACTTAAAGGTAATCGAATCCTTACAGACTAACACCTGCAAACTAAGCTAATGCTCATCACTAACTGACTACAAGATGAAGTTGTTTTTTTTGTTACAGCTTGATTCCACACTGTATTTATGGTACAAATATGGAATTTTCAGCATGTGATATCGGTAGCCCAAATTTCGCAGGCCAACCATAAATATCAGGTGTTCGTCGACAGGGGACAGAACCTCGGACCATGTGCATGGTCGGCAAGAGTCCTAACCACTGTGCCACCGAAGTACAGGAGTTGCAGTGTGAGAAATAGTGACCACTAGGTCAAGTTTGAGTAAAAGCCCTCCTCGACGGCACTGCCTTCCAGTGGCAATAATAAACGCGAATTAATGAAAGTTGCAAATTGGTAGGCCATCGGGTTCCGTGCCAGTTGTTGAACAGCCAAGCGAGCTTGGCCTCACGTTTAATTCCCTGTGTGTGGTAAGGTGATCGGTGCTGTCTTCTTCAATACCTTCCGGCTTTCAATACTTTTTAAACTTGTTGCTATACTACTCATCGGGTGGGTGCGTACTGCTGATAAGTCTCGAACTAGGCTGACGAAACAGCTGGCTGTTCAGTACTCCCTGTGGCTGGTTTTCAATCCGTGGTCTAACTCGAAAATCAAATCCTTACAAATCTACTGTTGGAAATTAATCTTATGCTCGCTAGTGACTGCATGGCTACACGACGGAGTTCTAGTGAGAAGTCATGACCAGTGAGGACTGAGTACCCGCCGATGACATTGGTGGTTAGCGGTCACGCTAAGAATCACGAATTAGTAGAAGTTAGATTTCATGCAGTGGCCATTGAATCGGGTCCCAGTAGCTGAATGGTATACGACCGACCTACCCTTGTAACCGGAAACTCCTGGATGGGTGCGTGCGTACTGATGAAGCATCCTAAACTAGGCTGACGAAAAAGCTGGCTGTCCAGTACACCCTGGTTGGTTTTCAATGTTTCTCTGACTGACTCTTGAATACTACTGAAATGCCAAAAGTAGCTAGCTAGTTCGGAACCACCAACATTCTACTTATCAATTTACATAAAAACTAAGACAGCAAAGAGAAAAGGCAAGCATTTATCTTCTCTTGTACAACAATTTATTCGTTAGCATTGTTTTAAATACACACACATATAAGAAGAAACTGAGACCAATACAAACAATATCAACGATTGAAACAGCTACAGCCACAAACGATACAAGTACTGTAGAAAAAATATATAATGATGAAAGACTAAGTTTCTTTTATTTTTCTTTTAGAACTTTTCATCTCTGATGATATACAAGTCGCCAACCATACATAGTGCAGGTGAATTGGGACGGATAGGGTTGGATTCCCAGCCGGTAGGTAAGTGTACAGTTAAATACCCCCAGGGGATGGTTGTTGCGTACTTCCACTATCGTTGTTGTAGACGTGTGTACGTGTAGAGAGGCGTACGTAACGTTAACTGACTGGGACAGTATAGTAAAAGCATCATAATACTAACGATCCCCTTTTAGGCAAGTGGATCATAATGCGGTTGCCAGAGCAGAGGTGGGGAGCAGGAAAGCAATAGAAAAAGAGGAGGTCATCAGATGTACACATCTCAAGTTAATTTAAAAAATACATGCATATGAATATATCTATATGAAGTAATTAAAAATATAATTTCTTTTTTTTTAAACGAAAACCTGCTAAGATTGGACAGTATTTTTTGTAGGTATTGCATCAGCAGGTAAAGATGAAGAGTTGTCATTAGCTGCACGTTTAAACAAATCGATTAAATAGTATAAACCATAGAGGAAATTTTCATCTTTTTTCATATCATTAGTGTTTTCAATCATTTCCCAACGTGTAAAATCAATTAAATAGACTAAAACGCTTTCTTCAGCTTGAGTTTCATTTGTCATGAATGATGTTGCAGGTGCAGATGGTAAAGGGGATAAAGGAGACGGGAAGGATTGTGATACAGTTGATTGATTCAATGGAGGAGGAGGATGGAGGTGGTCATCCTCATGAATTGGATGACTATTATTTAATCCATTACAATAATGATTTGGCGGGGATGATGAATTGAACTCTCTGACATTATCGTCAATAGCATCAGCGGCGGTGGCGACGGCGGCAGCGGCAGCAGCAACATCATCGTAGGCTAGTAATAATGAACTGGCATAGAAATGATAACGTGTTTGACTTTCAAACCATTTAGCTAGTTGACTTAGCTTGAGAACATATTGTTGGGCTAAACGTTGTGCACGTTTAACATCATTGCCAAGGAAGAGACGAATTCCTGAGAAAAGGAAAAAGGAGAGAAAATAAAAATAATAAGGGATTTTAGAATAAAAAAAAACATTCCGTTTGATAATGTGTCTTAGACAGAAAAATTAATTTCTAATCATCATCAAGACGTGGATGTTATGTACAATCTCTCCTGTCACCATCACACACACACACATAAACTTCTCTTCTTTCTTCTGGGTGAAAATGATAATACAATAAGTCTTGAAATAATAGAGAGAAGAATTTGTAACTCAAGTAGGTGGATAATACTTAATTAGTTGTATCCTCTGAGCTGGTTAATTTTATTGAGAAGCTTTCGGCGCCCACCCCTTTGTACTGTACTATTTTTTTTCCTTCACGTTCCCAGTGGAACATAGGGCTCCAAGCTAGTGGCTTGAAGTTTCTGTAGCAGTGTTTAATTTTTACAGGATGGGGTTGCTAGCCTTATGCCCAACCTTTCCTCTTTACCAGGATTATTTCTGGCTCAGTGAGGGGTAAAGGAGTGCGCCAGCCGGGGATCGAACCCCAGACCATATGCATGGTCGGTGAGCGTCCTAACCGCTATACCACCGACGCACTGTACTGTACTATAAATACAACATTTTCCTTGACTATAGATTTTAGTATAATAAAATTGACTTATTTAAATTCTCCATCAATAATAATGATGTAATTGTGTCCCCCCCCCCCGGCCACCGCCACTACTGACAATCACCCTCTTGACTGGTTGTTTGTTAATTTACCTCTTTATTGATCATATTTTGATTGACTTGGATGGAATTCGAACTTTCTTGACGTGTGATGATGACTTAGGTTTTAATTAGCAGCTGATAAATTTCGTTTATAATAATGTGCCTGTGTAATTGCTGGCTGGTTGATTCACTTCTAGAAACACCCTGGCATTTACTCTAGGTGTTTTTATTCCTCTGAAGCCGTCATGCAAAGATTAGAATTAATAATTGCTCTACCAACTATAATTAAACCAAAACTTTGGGTACGTTACATTGATGATACATTTGAAATAATTAAGAGAAATTTGATTTGGAATATACCCATATAAATTAATAAACAACATATGTGAATTCACCATGAGGGAAGAGGAATTAGAAAACAAAATTCCATTCTTAGTGTCTCCTTTAATCAAGAGAACTAACACAAGAAATCTAGAAACACAAGTATGTCGGAAATTAACGCACACAGACCAGATACCCAATTACCCCCACAAAAGAAACTGTGTGCAGACATTGTTTAAAAGAGTTCAAACACACTGTAGCACTCACTAATCCGGTGTTTAAGAGAATGGAAGAAAAAGTACCTACTAACTGTCTTCAAAAATAATGGATACCCTTACAATTTCATTGAAAATTGTTTAAACTCGAGTCATAATACCAACAACAAGAAACCATCATCAAAGACCATAAGAAAATTCATTCTACCATATATAAACAATATCTCTGAAATAACAGATGGAATATTAAGACCGTTTGAAATAGATATACCGCACAATCGGTTGATCACTTCAAATGACCATCACTTGCAACTTCGCCCAGCAATAACACCAACAGCACGCACAGAACTACCCGCCAGTGTGGAACCAATCCTCCAATGAAAGCAGAAATCCTGAATGCAATCAAGTCACAGAAGTCAAGCTGGAAAGGCATTAGGATCAGACGGAATTCCCTCTGAAAACAGGTCCAGAGAGTGTGGCAGATGTTGTCACGCCATTATTCCAAAAGGTTCGAAAGGAAGGAAAGGTGCCCACCGGTTGGAAGAAAGGCTTGCTACCTTGTCAACCTACCAACCAAAGGTGGGCTATTGAGGTCTCTTTCAGCAAGAGGTGGTGCAGGATAATGCTCTTGTTCACGTCAGGTAAAAAAAATTAAGTCGCGTCATACTGAAGAGAATAAAAGATGTATTGGATGAAGAACTCCACCAAACCGAAACAAGCTGGATTCAGAAAAGGCAAATCATGTGCTGACCAAACTGCAACTCTACGCATCGTCATCACAGAACAAAGCATACAATGGAAGTCAACTCTTACTCTACCTTAACTTCGTCGACTTCAAAAAGGCCTTTGACAGACAGTGTTGACCGAGAAGTAATTTGGAGACTACTTCAAAACTACGTCTGAGTCTCGAGGACCGAACAACCTGGTGTAGTCTTCAATATCCTACTTGACTGAAACGTGAAGTCAAAGACCTTATGGATTTGTTTTTGAATTTTATTCCTTTACGTTCCCAGTGGAACATACAGGGACTTCAGTCAGTCAATCTTCAATTTCAATAGTGTTGTTGACAGGATCTCAGTACAGACTGAAAAACGGTCTTATGACGATTTTCAGGTTGCTTCACTTCTGATATTATACATATTTGTTGACTGTCAGGTGACTAGTACCCCTATTTAATACATACTGAAATGTCATGCTTCCCAACATATAACCCTAACTAAGTAAGAATAAAGTTGGGAATGTGCTATTAAGACCGTTAGTCTCAGGCCATAAAGAGTTTAGTATACCCCTTTTATGGTTGAAATTCTTTACATAGAAGTAAGTAATAAATGACTGAAGGAAAATTTCAAAGGTTATTGTATTGGTGTGGGATGGAGCTGTCGGCCAGACACACACACACCCCAAACTTTTCCTCTTTACCAGGCTTCCTAAAAGCTGGTAGAGTTAACGAGGTTTCAGACGACATCGACAGAGAATCGGAACCGAAACCATGTGCATGTTAAACGAACATTCCTCTCATTAAATAACCGACACACACACACACACACGGGAAATAGTGAAACTCTTCATTAATATATGAGATATGATAGCGTGTCAAGCCATCTCCTTCCTCAACATACAGTTGGGCTGGAAAAGAATTAGAGGTGGTCAAACTAAAAATAGGAATCAATCCATAAGGTCTTCCATAAGTTAGTTTTGAGCCATGTGAGAAGATGTAGGCTGCCCGGTTGGAGTGCTAGAGATACTGACTGACTGGTTTCAATATTAGAAATTTGCACAGATGTGCACCAGTCTACACCTTCCGATGTGACTGGCTGGCCTAAACGAACTGTTATGGATTTATTTGACTGATGAAACCTTGTTTTGATTTGACCACTACTAGCTCTTTCCCAACCTCATCCATCCTATGTCAGTCAGCTAACATTCCCCGTCGTCGGGGAAGGCGATAGCTAGACCAGGCATGCGCATAACACATGTCTTAATCATCTCAGTCGGTGTAACTTCATAGCCTCGTCAACTGATGATTTCCCCTACTTGCCTAGCACTCGACTGATGTCTCACCTCAATATTGCTTACCTTATTATACCACCACCAGACACGGGAGATAGAAAGCAGACCTTTTCATACCTTCCACTTTCATTGGCTATGTTTCACAGCCAGTCATAAGGGAGGACAGACAGAACTGCTGAGTAGTACACGTCCTTTGATCGACAGCCGAATATCACGTCTACAGAGCCAGAGATGGAGTAAGTTGGCGGGCATATGCCTTCTGTATCCGTGCTGAGATTTCGTCAGCGATCAACCCACTGGTGTTAGCTGGTGCAACTTCTCCCATAAATAACGTAAAGTGGTCAACACACTCTACCACCTCCCTCACACCCCTTTGTCTATAAGCTAGGAGTGAGTCAATGTAGTCCAGTCCTACAGTTGACAGCGCGAGCGAATTGCATGTCAAACATCGGAGAACAGCGTAGATGTATAACATTCATTCTGTTAACACAAATCCTACTCGTTTGGTTTCAATCAGAGCTAATCAAAGAACTGATCATAAGATGAATTATAACACACTTTGAAATATAAAGCAGAAATACCATGAGTCTTACCATTACTGTATATTGTCGTTGGATCCAGAGATCGTCCAAAGAATATATCAAATGTTGTGTGTTCTTTAATACTTGGATTGAAAACCTACAGTGAAAAAAAAGAAAATCAATTCATTTAAAAACACACAATCACCCCTTGATGTTGTTTTTTTTATATTTTGATAGTGGTTATAGACAGGCGTTTCGTCCTAATGGGGACTCTTCGCGTTCAGTAAGTGATACCATTGTCAAGCCTAAGAATGTAAAAAAGCATCATCTATTGTTACCTGTTGGAATTATTTCCCAGTGATAATTGAAGGAAGGAAGGAAGCATTCTATCTTTGTTACAATGCAAATGTGAAGGAGAGGATGACATTTTCGCACTTTAATCTTTAATATTGCTATGCTATAAATATTACCAATAGTTCCTTTTTTTAACGCCAAAATTATATTGTATACAGGTTTACTCAAACTAATACTGCAACAGTATAGCGGTTTGATCACTTGATGAGAATATACCTTGGCTTCCGTGTCTTGCTTTTTTTGCTGTTATATTTGGTGTCACTGCCTGCCGACAGATGAAAAACCTATGCCCTAAAAGTTTTTGATGACGGAGACGTATGGATCACCACCTTGCAGGACTTCGGAGCTGTTGTGGAGTTGAATGGCGTTCAAGATCTGTTGGTGAAGAGGCTTTTACATGGAACGCTGCTGAGAGACGTTGGGCGAAGTCAACATATGATAGTGTGAGGCGAAACACCGGCGAATACATGCCAGCCAGTGTCATATCTTCACTCTCCGACAGATTCTAGAACACAGACACACTTTTCGGCGTCCAACAATTGCCATATTTCTTGACTTGAAGGCGGCCTTCGACTCCGTGGATCGAAAGGTACTATGGCAATGTCTGACTGTGAAGGGAGTGCCAAGAAAGTACATTGCACTAATCAAGGCACTCTATTCAAACTCATGTAGCCGTGTAAGGGCTTATGGGGAATTGTCATCTGAATTGATAACAACCAGTGGTGTCCGACAGGGATGTCCACTTTCCCCATTTCTGTTTAACTTCATCATAGATATGCTGATGGAAGTATCCTTAACTGAACGTAACGACTTAGGAATCGACTTGTTACCAGGGAATAGTCTTATGGACTTAGAATATGCAGATGACATAGTCCTGTTAGGGGAGGATGCTGACAAAATGCAGAGTCTTCTGAACACCTTGAGCAGCAATCTTCGTATGTTTGGCATGCGATTCGCCCCTGTAAAATGTAAGATGCTGCTACAGGACTGGACCACGTCAACTCCTACCTAGCTTAGTGATAGGGAGTGAAGTGATAGAACATGTTGACCACTTCACCTATTTGGGAAGTTGTATTAGCACCAACGGACTGATTGGCGATGAAATCTCAGCACGGATCCGAAAAGCTCGAGCTGCTTTCGCTGACTTACACCATCTCTGGCGTAGGCGTGACATCCGGCTATCAACCAAGGGACGTGTGTACTGCTCAGCAGTTCGCTCCGTCCTTCTCTATGACTCTGAAACATGGCCAATACGCGTTGAAGACATGAAAAGGTTGACTGTTTTCGATCATAGATGTCTGCGATCTCTGTTTCACGTTAAGTGGTTTAATAAGGTAAGTAATGTTGACGTTAGGCGTAGAGTGTTGGGCAAAGAGGGAAAACCAATCGACGAGGCTATAAAGTTACATAGATTGAGATGGCTAGGTCACGTGCTGCGCATGCCTAACCATCGCCTCCCCCAATGAGCGTTACTAGCTGATATAGGTTCAGGTTGGAAAAGAGCCAGTGGTGGCCAAACAAAAATATCGCCTCATCAATCCATGAAATCCTTGACAGTTAAACTGAGTCAGGTAGGGAGATGCAGACTTCCGGGTTGGGGCCCTCGGGACTCTAGGAATCAATGGCTGGAGACTATAGGTGACATGGCTCAAAATCGTTGTCAATGGCTAGCGCAGATGTATTCAGTCTCTGTAATCTTTCATATTCTTTTCTACCATTACCCATTCTGTTTCACTCTTATATTTGTCAAACTCTATTGATTCTCTTCACTCATCTTCTTGTCTACCTTTGTGTGCTATTTGGAACGTGGCAACTCGAAGTGGTGCACTTCGGTGCGAAGTTCTATGTTGAATCCAGACAGACAGACAGAGCCAGTGTCATGCGAACTGCTTCCAAAGCGGGAAGGATCATACACGGTCCACTGCGAGATGGGGTCACGTATATGCAATCAGAAATTCAAAGAAAGAGGAGCGGGTGGACGTCAGCCAGCTCCGGAAATGGACACACCAAGACAAGCAAACAAAGCTGCCAGCACCAAGAAGATGGAGCCTCCTTCAGTCAAAAGTATTTAACGGGGGGACGAGTGTGATGGCGTGATACAGACAATGTGTTCCAACGGAATATTATTCTTACATATTCCCACATTTCAATAGTGCATTTGTAACACAATAATATATATATATATATATATATATATATGTTTGAACATTCTATTTCATATCGTTTAATGTAAACCAAACGCACACGCTCAGTGATTGGCTATACACTAAACTTTAGCTAGGTCGGAAGAGAATAAATTATTCTGATTGGTTGATTATCTGCTCAACGTTAGACAAATTGTCCAATGAGGTTATTTCATGCCCACAATATAAACTAAAACCCCAGATTTTAGGAATACACACCTCTACCTCTTAAAACGTTGATTTCGGTAGTGAACGCCACACTACCTTTAACTGTCAAGACTTGAGTGAGATCCGCCATCTAGACAAACATTTCTTTTTGTCACTTGAGCAGTCAGCATATATACGTAGAAGAACAAAAAGTCAAATAAAGAGAATCAGGAAAGCGGTGGTGGTGTGTAAAGAAAGAAAGCAAAAAAATAAAGAGACTTACTCGTAAACCTGTGACTAAAAATCCAATTTCTTCACGCCATTTATATTTTGCACATTCAATCATTATTTTCGATGGTGATGAGTCTGGTGCATAAGTCCGTCGACCCATTTTCAAATCACACAATGATGGATGTTTAAAATTAGCCAAAACATCTTTTAAACCTAAATACAAATCTACCTTGAGTAGAATTTCAGTAGGTAGACAGGCAGGCAGAATAATTCATCACGCACACACACACACAAAACAAAAACAGAAGAGAAAAAGATGAAATAAGAAAAAATGGAGTTAAATGTATATACAACAAGTAAAAGCAATAAAGAGTTATGACTCAACACAACAGAGTTAAACTAATGTTTGAAATCAGTCAGTGGAACTCCTTGGTTTTCCAAGGAGTACTGGAAAGATGTTTCGTCCCGGTTTGGAACTCTTCATCGGTGCTCAGCCACCAGGGTTCGAACCCTCCGGTTACCATTCAGTCACTGAACTCTATGAGGGAAGTTACCTGGAGTCATAATGAGAAGTTGTAACTAGTGAGGGCCACCAAATTAAGCAACAGTTACTCGACTTTGGGTGGCGGTTGTGGATTGGTAGAAAATGCGAGACACGGACCGTTAGATAGTGTCTCAGTGTCGCTGAATGGTCCTGGGCTTCGATTCCAGTTGGGTGGCGTCATGCTGTGTATTAGTGAAGAGTTTCAAACAAGGAAGAAACACACCTCTTCTCCACTGCTCTCTGATGGTTTCCAATGGTTCTTCAACTGATGTCAGTCATCAATGGAATCAAAACTTGAAAATAAAAATGCAAAAGCACAAACATATGCACAATAACAACAACAGAAAAAGTAGAACTCACGTTTTCCTTGCGAATCTCGATATAGACCATAGAAGTCAGGTACAAATTGACGTAATTCAATTAGAGCGGGTTCGCAACAGTTCGGGTCGAATAAACGCTGATAAAAGTCTAATTCATGTGGTCCTTTAGGATAATGTTGTATTGGTTTATATATGGTGGATTCTTCATGTGAATATAGTACTGAAATAGACGTTTTAAGCAACAACAATAAAAAATAAACAACTTTGCTTCAAGGTTAGAATATCTCTCTAATAAACAGTCAATTTCAATCAATGTTAAATTCTGTTTATCTGTCATTCCTAAAATTCTGTGTGGAACATAGGGGCTTCAGGATTGAAACCTTGAAGCTTCAGTGGTAGTGATAATGGTGGAGATGATGTTGTTTTTACAGTATGTGGGACTACTAGCCTTATACCCAACCTTTTCTCCTTCCAAAAACTTACTTTCAGCTAGTAAATCAGATCAGGTTTAGGATCCATACTGCAGACCATACGTCCGTGGTTGGTGATCACTCTTCCACTGAACAATTGTAGCATGAATAGTAGACAGTTGAAGGTAATTGGCGAGAAGTCCTTCACCAAGATTTCGTGCTTATCGACATTTGTTGGCAAGGTGTACCTACAATCTTGAAGAGATTGATGCCCTCATGGTATATGAATCCATGTCACTCAGTCCTGCAGGTAGAGACATCACATGGGAGTACAACATCAGGTAGGGTGTTGGCGGTCGTCACACTAAAACCGCGAACTGACAGAGGTTAGAATTCCGCCTCTTACCACAACATTTAGAAATGAAAACTTGAATTTGACAATCTAATGAAGAATATCATACAATAGGAAATACTTGTAGCCATATGACTGTAGTTGTGTGTGTCCACGTGTCCTCGGACGCAACAGATGATCATACCTAATGACTGTTCAAAAACATCACGTCAGTCGGCGAAGAAACCAACATTCGATCCCATTTACTCAATGAGTGCATAAGTGCATATCACCCATACCAATTTACAAACCTCTTATCTTGTTCCCTGCTCTTACTTGAATATACATAAAAAGGAGACAATCGATTAGGATTGGAATTTCCTCAGGGAAGAGTTAGGTTTTGTATGACTTTTTATATATATTATGTGTTTATACGGGAAATGCTGTAATCATGGATATATTAGATCAAAAATAGTGAATGCACTTGTGCCATCATTGTGAGAACGATTTTCTTCAGACGTCGTTGGTTCTTAGAATCCCAAAGACCCTAACCAGGTAGCCTAAACCTACCCCTCCTCACTACACGGCTGACTCAAAACAGCTGTCACAGAGCGATGACAAGTTTCGATTTAACCACCTCTAACTGTTTCCTAACCTACTGCCCATCGAGGAAGGCGATAGCTCGGAAGGCATGTAATACTATATACTTCGTGTTTTGGCCACCTACTTCTCAACCGATTCACCTTCACAACCTCATCAACCTAACACACCCTTCGTTTAACCTCAATATTACTCACCATATTATACCACTTAACAGAGAAGATAGAAAGGAGACATCTTTGGTGGAATACAACAGCAGCCAGTCCTTTCATATCTTCCACTTTCACAATGGTCATTTCTCATCGTTCATAAGTAGTGGTGACAGACAGAACTTCTGCCGGATATCGCGTCTAACGCTCAGAGAGATGACAACAAGTGCCACACAAGCCTTTTTTTATCATTCATACTACTAAGATTTCATCAGTAAGCAATCAGTCCATTGGAAGTGATGAAATATAATATAGACGTATATCGGTTGTAACCTCGCCTAGTTAACTAGCTTGCTAGTTTTCTAGCCGGTCCCAAGTCAGAGTAAAGAGGAAGGGTTGGGCGTGGGGCTAGCGACCCCAAACCACTAAACTTATCGAACTGCTAGAGAAACTTTAACGCACAGAAAATATAATAAAAATACAAAAAATACAAAATAACAATCTTATTCTTCGCTGGAATCGGAGAGGCGAAATGATGCAGTGGGCTGGTGAAAGCCTTCAGGAAGCTATTCAGCCAGCAGATGTGTCATCGTTCGATGAAAGCAAGAATAAGAATGAGGAAGTGGAATGAATGTCCGTACAATGTACGAGACTGGAAAGGCAGCCCAGGTAGCCAAAGAAATGCGAAAATATGGCCTAGAAGTGCTGGATGTCTGGGAGAGCAGATGGAATGGATGTGGATTATCAAAATTGTCAACTGGAGAGAATCAGTAATCTACTCCAGTCACCCAGACGACAACCACGAACACACTGACGAAATGGCTATAATGATGTCACCAATGGCAGCCAAAGCCCAAGTGCAGGATTACAACAGCAAGATTCAACTCAAAAGCAAGGAAGGCCACAATTACCCAATGCTAAGAAACCTAAAAACAACGCAGAGAAAAAGCAGATAGAAATTTTTTATAGACAACTACGAAAATATTAATAGACATCATCCCAAATGATGACATCAAAATCCTCATGGGCGATATGAATGCAAGCCAAACTGGGAGCAGATAATACAGGAAGAGAACTCATCATGGGTCGCGAGAGGCTCTCGCTCGGAGAAATGAATGAGAACGGAGAATGATTCCCCGACTTCTACGCTTCCAATGATTTGGTAATCTGAGGTAGCTTGACCAAGCACAATGATATACACAAAGCAACATGGATTTGCCTGACGGACACACAACGAACCAGAGAAATTTCATCTCAGTGCTGCTCAAAAAAGTGGAGACACAGATAGTCTGTTGGACATAAAGTCGAGAAGGGGAGCAGATGTGGGCTAACTTAGACCATCATCTTAGTTCAAGGAACCTTCAAGGTGAAGCTGGAATCCTTGAAAGCAAACGGAGACGGATCACAATTTAAGTTCAATATTCAGAAACTGAAGAACAAAACTACAAGGGATGCCATCGGTGCAGATATCAGAGCAAAGTCAGATACATTGAGCGGCATTACTGAGGAAATCTACGCAGAAGAACACTGAAAATCTATGAAGGTGAAATCTTCTGCACTCATCGTAAAGAACAAGATTCGAACTTTCAACATCAATGTCAAGTCGGTTATTCTATACGGGTCAGACACTTGGCTAGCGTGTCACCAAAAGGATTTCCAACAAGTTACTGCAGACCTTTGTCAACGGTTGCCCGGTTTGTTGGCTCCATCCATACTGAAGATCAAATAACCAGAAAGAATAAGTAACAAGAAACTATGGGAATAAAAGAACAGGCGAGAGCCGATCGCTGAACAAATACGTAGGAGAAAATAGAGATGAATTGATCAGGCATACGTTGAGGAAGCCCATCGAATGGCATCACGCGCCGCGCCCTTGAGTTGAATCCCAATGGGAAGCAACGAGTGTGTCGTTGGTGCAAGGGTGACATGGAGGAGATCGTGTAAGTTGGAGGAGGAGATGAGAGATTATCGGTAGTCGTGGTCCGAGCTGAAGAGGACAGCAGAAGATAGGATAGAGTGGAGATCGTGCTGTTGAAGCCCTATGCTCCACCCAAGCGAATAATAATAATAATATCGGTTGTGGCGGATTTATTACTCTACACTCATTCTATGCACGAAAACACCCTTGCAACAAATTTTATCCTCACGTTTCACACTCCGTCTAGAAGGGTATTTGATCAACGCTGACAAGATAAATTTAACTTACTACCTGCCTACCTACCTACCGTTTATAGAATTCAAACAAGCAGTGAAAAAAAATCGACAAATTGGCGCCAACAAGTCGGTCAGTCAGTCATGTGTATACACAATCGTATGACTACTTAAAATAAAGAAAATGCCAATAAATAGATTAGTACAAGTTATAGTAAATTTGATATTTTCAAATTGTACACACTTTTATTATGTGTATTATGACGTAATTCAAACATTAACTACAAAGAGAGAGTGAGGGAGAGAGAGAGAGCCATAAACACATGATCTTAGCTTCCAAGAGAGGAGTAAAAACACTAAAGTGAACGTAAATAATTAATCTAACACAATTTGTATTACAGACTATAACATAACATAACACAACAAATCTCATGACAACCAGTTTAAGCTAGTTACAGTTTATACAGAGAAATGTACATGAGGAGGTTACTTCATTATATGAAGAGAAACATGAGGATTTATTCCATCTGAATCGGTAGAATACTTGCCGATCAGGCCGAATATTGACTAACTGACTGGTTCCAATGTAGAACATTGGCACAGATGTGCGCCAGTTCCAGTTGCCACAATCTCTTCTTGCAGCACACAAAGCAAGAGAGTAAAGAGAGAGAGAGAGAGATAATAAACAGAAGTGCCAGTGAGACAAAAAGAATAGTAGTATGGAAGAATAATAGAACTTTATTGAATCTGATAAATCACAATGAATGAATGAATGAATGAATCTGCGCCAGCCATCACCGAGAACGATCTTGAGCCATATCACTATTTGCCTTCAGGATTTATTGCTTCTTACCATCCCAAGGACCCCAAGTTAGTCAGTTAGGAAGTCTACACCTCCCCCCCCTACGTGACTGGCTCAAACTGCTATAGACTTCATGGATTGAAATAGGTCAAAGGAAGTAGAACAGACTAGCCGAGCATAAAAACCTAACAGCAAAATCTAGATAAGTTGTGAATAGTTCAGCTATAGCACTCACTACATGCGCTTATATACAACCATACAATAGGATGATGGGATAAAATGACAGCTCTAAAATCTAATATAACTAACCTGATGGAGGGAGAGATTGATGACAGAAGCTATACTTATCGAATCACGTGTAATAGGAATGATTCAACACCTGTCCACTCAGACATCTGGAAAAGTCTACTAGTACCCCTACGACGACAAATAGGAGAGAACAAAGAAAACTATAAAACTCAAGTTTCGAAATCGTGTGATTATAACTGATGACATGATTATGAACAATAATGAATTGTGTTCAAAACGTCATTTAGTGAATAATACTGTTTCACTCACTGTGTGATACATCTAATAAAAAAACTATTATGTTGTGATTCACACTTTTTTTGCATTCCTTTGAATTCCCAGTAGAACAGAGGGCTTTAAGTTTTGAAATATCAATAACGATGAGTTTTTCTAAAGGGGGGAGGGGTTGATAACTTCACATCCAATGAGGTTTAAGAGCGCGTCAACAGCCAGGAATCGAAACCAGGACCAAGTCCATGGCTGCTGCTC